ATGGTTAAGAACTGGCTTGGGACGCCAGAGGGCCCCGGTTCGGATCCCACATATGAGGGCCAGTGACACTGCCCTCCAACAACTAAGATGCTGAACAACAGCTCAACCTGGAGCTGGGCTGCTGGGAGTCGCTGAGATGGTGTAGGCTGCAGCCCCTGTGGCAGTGGGTTGCCATGGACTACCATGTGTAGCCAGCTGCCAGCGTGAGCGGTCTGAGTGGCCGGCTTAGCCGGCAACTGATCTGCCTCACCCGGGAAGAGCGCAATGATGGTGCCAACTTGGGCCAGTGAAGCAACGTCCTCCACAATTAGACTGAAGAACAAAACGACAGCAACTTGTCTGTTCCCCTTCCCCCAATTCCCCAGCACGTTCCCATCCCCCCAATTCCCCAATAAAAATCTTAAAAAAAAAAGTCTTAGGTGCCATCACATAGCTATTAAATCGATAAATACGAGTTATAAAATATTATGGAGACATGGAATCATTTAGCTAATGGCGTTGTAAATAAAACCCGTCTTTCTTGAAAGAACCCTGGCAATATTAAATAAAGCTTCTTGCCTCTGACCTAGTAATTTTATATTTGGGAATATGCAAGTAATTCCTGCTAAATACATTCTAGCAAAGCTATTTGTAATAGAGAAAAACTGGGACCAATCCAAATGCTCTATAAGCAAGACATGGTGAAGCAAACCATACATAGTACAGTAACAGAATGTAATATTATATAATCAATAAAAACCAACAAGAACGTGCACTATACTGATGTTCAAATGTATGTACATGATCGCAAGCTGAAAGAACAAAAGTACTGAACATAGTCACAGCTATGTTCTTCACAGTTACAAAGGCTAATAAAAGATCATGAATAGGAAGTCAGAGCAATATTAATATAATTTTATGTTTACTGAACTTTGTTCCTCTGCCAGTGAACTGAACATAAAACATTTTGAGAGGAGAAAATGGCCAAATGCTCAGGGTTCTTTTGACTGTCTCTCAATATACACACTGAGCTAAACGCAGGACATGTACCTTACAGTACATAAATTACACTATGCTGAAGATACCTAAACTTGTTTCATCTCTACACTTATGAATATTTTACAACAGCACAATGATGATAAATACTGTACTTTTCCTCTAAGAAATGCAAAATATATTTAGAGTGAATATACAATAAGCAAACATGATTATACCTGTTACAGATAGAAAAACTGATGGAAACGATCAATGATCTGCTCAATTCATCCAACTCCTGATTCCCTACTCTAACAGCATCTTCTAGAAATAATTATTCCCATTTCACAACTCTCCCATTTCTAATTTTTAAAATACGTCCCTTCAGCTTTTCTGAACAGTGTACACGACTGTCTTTAACAAATATGGAATGGATGAGAAAAAAAAATGCTAAAACCCTGATTGAAGAAATGAAATTTTAAACTGTTTAAACTGTTTACTGTTTTTCTCCTTTGAGAGGCAAAGAGAATATTAACATTTACTTCCAACTCCCTATATCAGGTAGTCAACTGTAGGAAAAGACAAAAACTGCTAAAAGTACATCTTTCTTCTCACGAAAGAGCTGTTTCCATTGACCAACATGTGAAAGCAGCTTGCAACAAAGATGAAATCCAAATATTTCAGAAAAATGATGTGCCTTGCCTGTTTTATGCCTATACCTTTGAAAATTAAAAATCCAGAAGGACCCTCTGAAATTAACCAAAAGTTAACTGAAAAGTACTATTGTACTTTAAGAAAAACTTGTTGAGAAAACGAAAGTCATCTAACTGGCAGACCACCTGTAAATTTCACTCATAACCATTTTTTGAAGTCCATCTCAAATGGCACTTCCTCTCTGTAGCTTTCCCTGAAGACTCCAATCCACAGATGTGCCCTCATTTGTGCTTTAGAGCAGTTCGGGCATACATCTTTTATAAACATATCAGATTTCAATAATCTGTTCATAAACTCATGTCCTTTACTTTGAGGTTCTTGGAAGACAGGGATGTGTGTGTGTGTATATATATATATATATATATATATATATATATATATATATATTCTAAGGCACTAGGAATACAATACACGATTGTTGTTATATTTAAATTTAAAGACGAAAAAGTAGGTTTTAAAGGCTGGTTACTAAAATATTTAATGGAAAAACCACTTTGCTTGTGACACTAGCTGCCCCCTCCACCTGGAAGCACTATATTCTTTCAGTCAGAACTGAAAGCTTCTTGCACTGCAGGGTATGAGTTACAGTTTCAAGCGCTACTGACTTGAGTAAACCTTAAAGATCCTTAGACATTTTTAGAGATCCAAGTTTTTAAATAGAAACTGTAAAATGCCGTGAAAAATTTAATAGCTTCTTTAATGCCCTAAAATAAGCTCAAAATTAACAGCTACATAAAGCTAGCATGTATAAAATAAACACCAGCTTAAAAAAAAATCAAACTTAGTAAATAAACCTATTTATAGATTGTAAAAGTCTGCTGAACGATTATTTGAATTGTTAAAATTATTAATGGTTTCAAAGAGATCCTCAAGCCCTGAATGTTAAGTTTTACCAACTTAGAATAATTGTGTATGTTTGTATATCATGTCGTACGCCGAATAACCTAATAGGTTACTTATGTCTCTTTTACTAGAAGTTAAACCGAAAACCTTGAATAAAGGTCTTAAGAGATCAACGTTTTCAAGACTTGCTCTAGGAAGAAAATGCCATTTTCTCCAAGTGTTTAAAACAATCTCAGAGAAACTAAATAGTGGGATCTTACATATTTTTTTTGTATAGTAAAACAATTTTTTTTTAACTTGAGAGATAGAAATTAACTGGTTTTTAGCCATTACAACAACTATTAAATGCGGTTCTGGGTGTTATATTTCGCAAATAATAACTAACTGCTAAACGTAAAGTTAAAATATCAGTCCTAGAAACAAGCTCTCATAACCAAGCAGAAGTTCCGGGAAAGTAGCATAAAACAGGAAGCAAGTAAATAAAAAGTTACTGGAAGACCTAGTGGTCCACTTGCTTGGAGTGCGTGACACAGGGCAGTGAACCAACACTCTCAGTAGTGGAACGCTTGCTGCTGACATGCACGCTTCCAACTCCAAGGAAGCGCCATATATACACAGTCCCTGTTCCAGAAAAACTGAATCCAGTTGCTCGTGCAACCTGGCCCGCCAGCCGGGAGGCGAGCCTCACGAAGGCCCACTGAGTCCTACAAAATCTACATCCTTACAAGGGCCGTTCCAGAGCCTCAGACCCACAGCCAGGCCGAGCGCCCGGGGCGCTTCTGTAGGCACTCGACCCCACTCACATTGCTACGCCCCCTTCCCCTCGGATCCCAGGTTCCCCGGCAGAGGGAGGCTTCCCCTTCCGACAATGCACCCAGAGGTTCACCAGGCCTCACCCACCTTGCACTCGTCGCTCTTTTTTCCTTCTTCGCAGAAGTTAACCGGCGCCAGGCCGGGCAAGTAGAAAGCGGCGCCCCGACGCGGGCCTGGGGCTGCCCCCAGCACGAGCAGCGACAGCAGCAACAACCGCGTCCACCGAAGTGGAAACGCCGGCAGCCTCGCGCTCATGACGGCTGTTTCCGGAAAAGGGCAAACAAGCCGAGGGGGTGAAGAGGGAATGAGGGACGGCGAGGCTCGGAGACTACAAGGCCGCCCAAGCAGAGGGAGGCCAGCCCCGCGCCGGACTGTTCCGGTTGCGCTAGGCGACACCGCTGGTCCCGCAACAGAAACCGAACCGGACCTCGACAGAGCATGCGCAATGCTGCCTGCACATGCTCAGTGAGAGCGGCAGCAAGCGCCCCCAGGAGTTTCCGGGAGGGCGTGTGGAGGAAATCCACTTTCCAGGTTTTCAGCGGGCCGGCTGGGGGCGTTGCTGGGAGGGATATTCCGATGCGCCTATTCCATTCCTATTCGAAATTCCGATCTAGAGCTACCTTGGGGCGCCATGGAATGTCCCGCTTGCCCGGCGCCCCTGGCTTGTTGGTTTGTCTCAATTTCCCTGAAACATCTTGAAGTTTCCCCACCACGCTGCCCGCAGCCCGCCAACCCCTATTACACAATTGGTGCTCCAAAGTACTTGCTGATGAAGGCGGACTTGGTGGCGATAAGGAGAAGCTTGGTGAACGCCTGATTCAGAGCAGGATAAGGAAACAAAGGGGAGGAACTAGCCTAAATTCTCAGAGACAGCTACTCAGAGGTGTCTGTAAGGGCAGGTTCCAAACATTGGATGCGGTGGTGCATTCTTGTGTGGGACAGTGTCTGTACAGAACAAACAAGACCTCTTTAAAAGTGAGTGGAAGAGAGGTGGGAGAGAAAAACGAAAGTAGGTGAATAGAAGGTAGTGTTGACCTTTCTTTGCAAAGGAAGATATGGGCACACCCTGGAACTCATTGAGGAAAGTAGTCCCAGCGAAATGAAATTTTGCTATGATTATCCTTGAGCAAGTTTCTGTCACTTTTCCTATTGAAGTGACGCCTTGTTCCTTATTGTATGTGCACATAGGGGTGTGTGTGTGTGTGTGTGTGTGTGTGTGTGTGTGTGTGTGTATGTGTGTGTATGTTACATTTTGTGAGTATCTTTCAAGGAGAAATTTGCTTTTGGTGACATAAAGTCAATTCAGTTGAGCCTTAGCGTTCAACTGAATACTTCAGAAGGGTTCATCAACTCAGACTATATAGCAAGGAATCATAACCCAAGGGTACCTCCAGCTCAGAATTCAAGAATGGGCAAGTTTGCTAAGTGGGCTATTCAGAAAACTGTGATGCCTCATGCAATTCTAGCTAAATTGTTGTAGGTGTTTGCACATTTCTCCCGTGGAAAGTTGATAACATTCACTAAATTTTCAGAACGATCTATGACCCTGCAAAAAAAGGTTAAGAACCACTGTTTTATACTGTAGGGTAACCAGAACAATGAAAGATAAAATTCTTGCTTGCAATGGTGGTTTGCACTAAGAACTTCAGCTCTGGAACACTATCTAGTCATATGACCTTGAGCAAGTTAATTAATCAAGTCCCACGTAGTAGAGAAAACTGGGAAGCAGAGACAAAAGAACCACCATCTTTTTAAGGTTGTTGTGAAGATTAAATTTTTTAAAAAGTATGTTAAGCACTGAACACATTGCTTGGCACAGAGGAATGGCAGCCGTTTTTACAAAAGCCATTCTAGCAGTGGGAGTGTCACTTCCTCTGCCCCCACTAGACCCTTTTCCCTCAAGCAAGTCAGTTTAAGGAAAAGGATTTATAATATTCTGTACTTGAAGTCATGAAGTTTCCCACTATAATAATAAGAAGCGGGTATTCTTTCAATTTAAAAAGGGGAGGAAAACTAACATTTTTGTTCACAATCATCTATTTTTTCTGGCATCATTAAATACTCTACCTTCACTATCTCACTGCCCTCACCTTAATCTGTTTCTCCTCCAGTTTTCCCCATCTCAGAAAATGGCATCGCTGCCTCCCTGTTTCTCAGGCCCCAAACTTGGGAGATAATCTAAATTTCTTGTTCTCTCACTCTTCACATACAGTCCTTCAGCGAGTTCTGTTCTCTGGGACATTGAACAAGACTAAATCCTTTCAATACTTTCCATGTCCACAGCTACACCCCAGTCCAAGCCAAATCTTTTGCCCAGGATGCCTTACTGTAACAGCCTCTCAGCTTCCACTCTTGGTAAGTGCAACTTAAAAATCTTTACATCCCTTGGGCCGGCCAAGTGGCGCGATGGTTAAGAACTGGCTTGNGAACAGACAAGTTGCTGTCATTTTGTTCTTCAGTCTAGTTGTGGAAGACGTTGCTTCACTGGCCCAAGTTGGCACCATCATTGCGCTCTTCCCGGCCGGCTTCTAGACGACCGCTCACAGTGGCTGCTGGCCGCTCACGCTGGCTGCCGGCTACATACGGTAGCCCATGGCAACCCACTGCAGCAGGGGACTGCAGCCCACGCCGTCGCTGGCGACCCACGGCAGCCCAGCTCCAGGTTGAGCTGTTGTTCAGCATCTTAGCTGTAGAGGGCAGTGTCACTGGTCCTCATATGTGGGATCCGAACCGGGGCCCTCTGGCATCCCAAGCCAGTTCTTAACCAACGCGCCACTCAGCCGGCCCAGAACTGTTTTCTTAAATTTGACTTATTCCATATTTATAGGCAGCTGCTTCCCAAATAATAGATACCCCATTTATTAAAAGCTTCTAAAAATAAATACCAAGAAAGTAAGTTTAAAAGTATGATTTTGACTGTTTCCCTTTTGTCAAAAAGTTATTAAACTTATTTATTTCAATACTATTTTTTTTTAAACCACTAGTGGGTATGTTTGGTCATTTTTCCTTACTGGACAGGAAAGAAAACCTTAATCTTTCATCTAAGAACATGATCTATACATCAAACAGTTAAAGAGTGGCAGGTGTTTTATAAAGTTTAGTTAAGTCTGAATTCGTGTTGACAAGCCAATAATTACTTGAAATTTAAAAGCAGCAAGGGTGAACTGCTCACTATTTTCAGCTATTAGCTATCAGAATGCCAATCAGCACCCTTAAGTCTCAATCTAAAGCTAAACAGCACGTGGTAGCTAATGTGAACTTGCCAAAACTTTTATACAAAGTAGATCAGAACTGCACATTTTACCCTGTGAAGATCTATTCACAACTAATCAGGGCTTTATTCTATTTATTGCAGTCAGTTTACTGTTCCCTGATTTTAAGAAAGTACGTAAAATGGATTCTAAAGGAAAGGAATACCGTGGTTTAATCCTTTATTATTACTGCTTCAAAAACTAATAAGGCAAATAAAAGAAAAAAAGTTAAAAGACAGAGAAACCTCAATAGCAATAAAAGTAATGCAGCATTATAAAATGTCTTACGGGGCCGGCCGAGTGGCGCAATGGTTAAGAACTGGCTTGGGACGCCAGAGGGCCCCGGTTCGGATCCCACATATGAGGGCCAGTGACACTGCCC